CTATTACCTACCGCCATCGGATTGTTCCAGAAAAGTCCCAAATCCTTGCTTTCAGGCCTTTCCAAGTGGCTCTCGAGAAAGACGTCAGCAAAACGCTTAGGAGAACCTACAGCAGAAGCAACTGTATCGAACAACATCAGGATATTCTTCGATATTTGCAAGACTTCATGTATTCCTATAAAGGTGAGAGCGATGGCGAGAACGAGGTGTAGGGTGGTCAAGTATTGCTTAAAGGCACAGTTCGCGACCGCAAGTTGCGGGAAACGGAACTCAAATAGGCACAAAAAAGTGCTAAGTATCTGATTAGCGGAGAAAAGCAGCAGAAAAAGCAGTCCGAAATGTTATAGAGAAAGATAACATGGTGGCTACTAGCTAGTAGCTAGCAGCCGGTGAGGGTCGGCATGGGCCTAAGGGGTGTCCATGGGCCTAATTAGTCCAGCTTCTAGCGGAGTTCTTGCCGTTTTTCACATTTTGAGAATTAGCGCAGCCTAAAAAATCGCCTTCCGTATCGTCCGACACATTTGAGAGGTCATAGCCTTATTTTATCGCGGAATGTGCCTTTAAAACGTACGCATGTGTTTGGCTCAGGGGCAGCATCGCTGTGCCAAACAATGCACGGGTTTTGTAATTCAATCTTTATCGGAGGGGTGGGCGTATATGCGCACTGGGAGAGGGGGTCGTACTTGCCTCGATAGAGAAATTTTCGAAAAATTGTTGATGTCGCAATTCCCTGAAAGGCGTCCACGGTTCGACCGTTCTTCTTGATTGAAATCTGATTAGATATGATGAATGCTCTAGCTAAAAGGATGCTGCAAAGCGTACTATTTCCGAGTAGTTGAAAGCCCCCCCACCCCCCCCCCCCCCCCCGCTCCCCCCGCCCCCAGCCCCCCCCTCCGCTCGGAAGGTGTCTGCCACCACCGTACCCCCTCCCATCCCCACTCAAACTAAAATTTTGTTAGTGATATGTAAAGGTTATGAGAGGGGGTCGTATCGTTCTGACGCCGTTATTTCACCCTATCCTGATTTTGATTTTGGTACGAGGTGGGAAAGCTTTTGAAGTATTCAAAACGTTCGAGCCTAGCCTAAGGGTTATGGAACGGCTCAATGCTCAAGTTACTGTGCTTTCTTTTCCAAGAAGATTGGAGACCAAGTTAGCTCTAGCTTCGGATTCACCTAGCTGGAGTTCTATCCTCCGATGCACTTCAGACCTCTGCCCACATTCCTACACTCCTAGCACAGAATTCTGTCTTGAAGTTGAAATTATTTTTTAGATTCAATAACCACGAGAAATTGAAATAATGTATAGCAAGATATTGTTGTAACTTCCTTACCCTGTGATTCAATGTACCCTATTTGCAGATCATCCTAAATTTGGCTGGATTTGGCTTTCTTTACTTGGTCACGATCACGAAAGTGGTGTGATTCATGCGGACGCGGATTTTCAACGTTTTCTACTCAATAACAAGAAAAAGGTTAGGCTTCCTGCATTGCAGTAAATGCGTGGAAAATCCTAGGTTCTTCGTGTGGATTTCCGAATACGAGCAGTCCCTCTCCTCCTGAACTTTTCCGTGGTGTCTCTGTAACGGTCCGTGATGTATCCATCGACATTGGGTTTCTCGTTCACTTTTTTTTCTCTTTTTGAGGCATTACTTAGTATACTGTCGATAAATACAGTAAACTCCACACCCCCTCCCCCTCCCCCTCCCTATGTGGGTGACGGAGTACCGTCAAGGTGCTACGCAACCGCTACTTTCGATAGCTGAGGTGAGAAATCAAGTGACTTTCTCAATCCGCCGTTCAACGGCAGTTTTTCTGGGGAAAATACTATCAAAGCGTAAAGGGGGTGGAAAACTGGGAGCAGTTAGAAGAACAGCCCAAATAGGTCGTCCGACAACGTCATTTCTCCCATCCCGGGTGAAGTGAAAAATATTCCAACTCTCCTTTTTGTTTCCAAACGGGTCTTCCTGCTCCTACAATTTTATGAAGAGACGGAGTTCTATATCGCTTCCTTTGAGCGATACAGGAGGAGGAGAAGAGGGTGGGAAACCTCAGAAATCCAATATACCTTGAATTGTATTAAATTCATGACGCCTCGAGAGGTTTAGAGAAGAATTTTCAGCTCGACGATTCTTTCGTTATCTTCATGGGAGACCATGGGCTGCGTGGTGGCAGGGTTCGTTGATTTTTTTTATGTGGTCTAGTACCATTCTACCAATGGAACGCATCCACAGTCTCCCGCCGAACGTTTAACTTCAGGTGACCCGTACTAAACTCGGCAGTCTCGAAATGAATAATCCGATGTTCTCGATGTCAATACCGAAAGTGCTTCGAGACACCACAG